TTCACGGTCACGCAACCGCCAACAGCCCCGTTAACCAACAGCCGCACCAGGATGATGATGATGATTATGATCAGCAGCAGCATTTGTACCTATTTGGCAGGTCCGCCGCCGTAGAAAGGGAGTGTCGTATCGCGGGGGTGATGCGGAGGTTGATGAAGCGAAGGTGGACGCACAAACATACAAACTTATACAAACTTACAGACATCGTTTGGGGGTATCTATCTTTCGCCTCGGTGAAGTTACCGACCACCCACAAGCGTGTGCCATCCGCGCCAGTTAATGTCCACGACCATGAATACATACATACATACGCTTCTTCCCCAACCCCCCAGGCTGCTCCCCAACGCCAGTCTGGAGCGAGTTGAGACCCCCTTGGTCGCCAGGCTCTTCGCCGCCCTCGACCACCACCTCCGCACATCCAAGACAAGGCTGGAGCAAGTATGGGCACATGCAATCACAAATATGGGCGCACCGCCACCACCACCGCCACCACCACCACCACCACCACCACCACCATCACGTCCTTCCCATTCCCGTTCCTTGGCGCCGCCTCCGTCGCATCCGCCACCGCCCGCGGACGCCGCAGCACTGGCCCGCTTCCTGCGCCCCTTGCTGCCCGGTCTGAGCGCGAATGAGGTGATCTACCTGGCCACGTTGTTTGATCTGGACGGAGATGGTCTCGTGTTTCCCGACGACGTGGTGATGGGGTTCGAGGAGATCGGCACCACCTTGGACACCCCGGCTAGCAAGGTAAGGGGAGAGGGGAGGGGGGACCTGCACGATATCGGTGCACCGCTCGTGGCTTAGTCCCTTTACGCAAACACACATACAGACACACACGCCGACCCGCCCCACCTCCTCGCCGTCACGCAGCTAAACGCCCAGGCCTACAAGCTACTTGCGCGCGTGGCGGGTGTCGTACTGGGGGACTACGAGGAGAGCTACCTGGCGTTTGTGCGGTACAGCGGCCTGCTGCGGCGCAAGGGCCGAAGACGAGGGGGGAGGAAGGCGGCGAAAAAGGAGAAGGACGGGAAAGATAAGCGCGATAAGGAAAAGAAAGAGGAGGGTGGGGAAGCCAAGATGAAGAAGAACGAGAAAGAAAAAAAGGATAAGGGAAAGGGAAAGGAAAAGAACAAAGGAAAGGAGGGGGAGAAGAAGAAGAAGAAGAAGAAGAAGGACAAAAAAGAGAGGGAAAAGCTCGGAGGGGGAGGAGGAGGTCCGACAGGAAGCGAAGGCGGCAGCAGTGCCGCCCAGACTGTTAGCAGCGAGGGCGGAGTCGGCCAACACCAAGACCACCACCATAGGCACCACAGCAGCAGCAGCAGTTCTAGCAGTTCTAGCAGCTCCAGCAGTAGCACTGATTTCAGCGACACGGAGGACGAGATGGGGGTTTCGGAGCTGCATGGAAATGTGCAGCTGACTCAGCCGCAGTTGGCCAGGTGGGTCGTGGCTAGCTGGCCGGCTGGTCGTGGGTCAGGTGGTTGGGTAGATAAGGTCGTTTCTGGTTGATGGCGGTTAGATGGTGGTTGATTGTAGTCATCAGTGGTCGATAATGGGTTAGGTGATGGTGCGGTTGGGTGGCTCGAGTAGTGGTGTGTGGGGAGAAGAGTATGGGGGAGGGGTAGCGAGCGCGGAGTGGACTTTAGCAAGGTCTTTGTGAAAAAGGGGAAGTGAAGCTGGGTTGGGGGGAGGGGGGCAGGTGGAGGGGAGGGGGCAACGTGCCGTGTTTGCCACACACACCAACACACCCACAGCCTTGTGTGTACTACCTTCGGCATTTACCTCGTCGCGGCTCCGGCTTCTGTGCTCAATAAAAGCCCCCTTGATTCACATCCTCGCCTCAGGTTTCTAAGCCACCTGACCAACCACACGGCCTCACCTGCCGACATCGGCGCCCTCGTTACTTACCTCAACATCAAGCTCGCCGCCGCCGACGGCGGCGGTGGCGGCGGCGCTGCCGCCACCGCGCCGGGACCAAAACAACCATACGGAAACCCGTACGGCAACCCGCTGCAGTACCAGCGGCGGACAGCGCAGGCGGCGGCTGGGGGCGCTGATGCCGCCGGCGCTGATGTAGTTCATCCACCGCCGCCGCCGCCACCGATGTACGACTGGCCGTTTTTGGTTGGTATCTTGCGTGGCGCAGAGACGTCGCTGCCTGTGGATCGACGGCAGCCCGCAAGTCCGCGCAACGTTCGACGTACGACAAGGGAGCAACGGGAGAGGGAGCTTCGGCGGCAGCAGAAGCAGCAGCGGCGGGAGGGCAGGGCGGCGGCGAGGGCGGCGGCAAAGGCAGCGGCGGCGGCGGCGGAGCGAGGTGCTGCCGCTGCCGAGACGGAGGCGGAGGACGACGAGGCAGAATGGTGGAGTGGGCACGCAAGAGGACGGTGAGGATATGCCGTACATTTGCGTGCATAGATGTGTTTTGGTATTTTACTCTGAACACCATAAAATTGCAGGAGAACAAAAAACCTAAGAATTCTAAACATACATTTTTCATCAATATATTCTCGAAGTCACACGTGATGTGTTGCAAAATGGTTTTGAATGGGCGGCATTTTGCGGAGGCGGATTGGCGAGAGCAGGAGCGGCAGTTGTGGTGGGGCGTTGTGCTGGTCCCCGCTACAGCGCGCCTGCCCAGAGCTCACAGGCATAACCACTAACCACTAACCGAAAAAGGAGTTGGTCCCTGAAAGTAAATCTTCTTCTTCTTCTTCGCAAGGGGACGACTCGCACTGCTGTGTGTGTATCGGGAGGTAACGGAATCAATACAATGCCCCCCAAAAGAACCCCATCCCATCTCCCAAAATTCCCCTCTGGAAGCCCTTTTCAGTAAATTGTTGCCCTGCCATCTTTCACATCGCCACCCGGGCCCTGTCGGCAGGTCCTCACCCCTGCGGGAGGCCGCTCTCACACAGCCCCCGGGGCCCCACCCTGACCGCCGCATCGTCGAGCTCCGTTTCCACATCCACACAGACGGCAGGACCTTCCTGCTGGATCCCGTCACGGGGCTGCTGTACACCGCTTCCGCGTACATCCTGGCGACGGCGGCCGCGGTGGCGGAGGCGGCGGGGGTGGCACCGCCGCCACTGCCGCGCGGCGGCGTGCGGTTGCATGCGCCGCCGCCGCCTGCGGTTTCGCCGCGACTACTGGGTGCTGACGGCGGAGCAGGCGGCGGCGGCGGCGGCGGCGGAGTAATGGAAGAAGGTGCGGATTGGGATGGGAAGGGTATATATTGTGTGCGGGGTGGGAAACCTGGTGAAATGGTTTGCGTACGTATATTAGAAACACACCGCAGCTGTGCACAGAAAACAAAGACATATATACACACATATATATATAGATACTCATATACATACATCTATAGACAGATATATGTATATGTGTTGCTGGCCACTCGAAGCAAGGCCAATCGAAGCAAGGCCAATCGAAGCAAGTAGAGCTTATGTGGGCCGGTATCATGGTGCGAACAGCGGACTCAGAGGGGGCTCATGCCGCTTCATGCCGCGGAGGACGAAACGCATGTGAGTGCAGTTTTGGACTGCCCTGCGCTTACAGCACATGCAGGGGCACTCTGTCGGGTATCAGGTGGGTCATACTATGGAGGATGTGGTGATGGTAGCGGTTGACGTTGGCTGAAGTTGGCGAACCTTATCCACAGTACCTGTGGCTGCAGAGGGCCTCGAACGCCGGGTGGTAGTCTCACTGCTAGAGAGCATTGCTGTCCGGATAGTGCGGTTAGTTTGGTACAAAGCCCCCCTTACGAGCAATAAGGTATATTAAATGCTGTGGAATTCTTTCTTTTTCTTGTGCGTCTTTATTACGATATCTGTCTATGTCGGACACAGCCTTCGGTTCCCCATCAGGGCTCCAGAAAGGGGTCCTCTTGTTGCAACCCCATGATGGGTGGTAATGCTCATCAATGTGTGTAAGTATGTATGTATGTACGTTGATGTATCGCCGCATCAGGGCCCTTCTTCGCGTCGGCCGGCGGCACCGCGCCTCTGCCGCAACCGCCGCCAGCGCTGCTACTGCTGCCGTACCCGGACCTGGCGGGCAAGTTGCAGTACCCTGACAACCGGCTGCTGCCCTGTCAGAGCAGTAGCGGTGTCGTACTGGTGTGTAGCGCCCTGGAGAGGTTGGTTTCGGAGGAGGCACGTGCGGCGGCGCTGTACAAAGTACTGGACAGGTGGGGGTCTACCTTTTGCTTGCGTTCGTTCGTATGTATGATGTCTGGGACAGGGGGGTCATATCTTTACCCTATGTATGTGTGAATGTATGTATGTTGTTACAGGGTGTATAGCTTCACCAGCGGCCCCCTTTCCCGAGGCAGTTCCCTGCTCTCCCCTGCGAGAGGGGCACCCTAATCCATTCACCCCATCCGATTTCAGAATGTATTCGTTGGGTTCAGCAACTCACCACCAGCATCCAACCAAATCTAGCAGATCAACGGCGCCACAACTTAGTTCCTGGTCAGCTCGCAAGTATGAATGTATGTATGTGCGTGTGCGTGTGTGTATGTGTGTCCGTGTGCCGTTGTCTAGCCCACCCGTCTGTCTGTTTGTCTGTGTGTTTGCTTAGGGTACTGAAGGCCCACATATACACACACCCGCACACCCACACCCGCACACCCACACCCGCACGCAGGGACGGTCGCGGTCTGGACCCTCCTCAGCTGCAGCAGCTCATCACCTCCTGCGCCAGCCTCACCGCCAGCGAGGTGGCCTTCGCTGCAGCCGTCCTGGACCGCCGGGACACGGGGCGGATCACGTGGGGGGAGATCAGGGAGGCCACGCAGACGGTAGGGGTGGGGGTGGGGGTGGGGGCCGAGGGGTGGGGGGCGAGGGATGGGGGGCCGAGGGGCCGAGGGGTGCCGGCGCATTGCGGCGGGGAGAGGGGAGGTGGCTGCGGGGGGATGGGAGGGGGTGGGAGGGGGAAGCTTCTTCTTGGGGCGAGTGGGTTTATTGGGGATACGCCCGTGCTAAGAAGAAGAGCGGGGACTGGGGAAAGGAGGGAAAGGAGGTGCGAACGTTAAGGGGCACCAGGGCTGATAGGAGGACGGGGAGGGGGACGGGAAGGAAGGGGAGTGTGTGGGTTCGTCTCGTAGGTTCGCCTTGTTTGGAAACTGAAGGTCCTTTCCATATACCAGTGCCAATACCTCCAAAAAAAGCCCTTGCTCAACCATCTCAACCATCTCAACCATCTCAACCACCCCAACCACCCCAACCACCCCAACCATCCACCGAACCCCAACTCCATACCAGGTGCACTACACGGCCACGGCCCTGGGCCTGTCCTCTGCCGTACAGAGTTCCTCCCCGCCTGTAACCCTCACACTGACTCGCGTGGAGGCGCGAGCTCTAGATGTACTGCACCGTACGGCACAAGTCCTTCAGCGGGAATGGCGGCTGTTGTGGTTACTGGTGGCCAAGGCGGGGCCGGCCGGGTGGGTGCAGAGCTGGGCGGTGTGTATGCGAATAATCAAATAAACCATTAATTACATAAATTTGTGTTGTATATATATGTGCGTGCTTATATTATATGACGTATATGTGTGCGTATGGGGGAGAGGAATTACCGTTTTCCCTCCCAACCAGCATCACCGCTTTCATCGTCACCTCCGCTACTGCCGTAACCATGTACAGGGTTGCCATAACTGCTTGCCGTACATGCGAGATATCTGGAACATCCATCGTGTGTGCATGATCCCGGGGCGGCCACGCCACCATCAGGGCCATGACGTATCCGTATCCGTATCCGTATGTATGTCCATGTATATATATGTATGTATGTATGTATATATATGTATGTATGTATGTATATATGTATGTATGTATGCGCGTGAGCTTGCAGGACCGGCCTGCTGGATCGCGACGGCGCCGCGTCAGTGCTTCGCCAGGTGCTACAGCCGTACTTGCAGCCGCACGAAATCCGAATAGCTACAGCCTATCTCGCCATGATGACCCCAGACAAGGACGGCAACGTCACCGCGGACGAAGTCGTACAGCTGCTGCGTGTACTACCCATGCGGCTACGATTGCCATACAGTGACGTCACATCTGCAGCGGCCGCGCCGGTGGCAGCGGCGGCGGCGGCGGCTGCAGCAGGGCGGGAGATTATTTTTGCCGCTGGCTTTGGCGGGCCTGTGGCGGCGAACGGTACGCTACCGCCGTTAGTGGCGGGCCGTGGCGTCAGCGCGGCAGGCGGCGGCGGCGGCATCAGCTCGCCGTACAATCGGAAGGTCCGCTACCCGACGGGGCCGACGGACGCTGAGCCGGAGCTGCTGTACGGCCAAAATGACGGGGCCGTTTATCCGGACCGCAACATGCCGTATGATCCGGACTGGGGATCTGGACCGTACGGCAGGGAGGCGGCAGCAATGGCGACGGCGCCGCCGCCGCCGCGGCGCCGCCTGCCAGATCCCCTGCGCAGCGGATCCTTGGCGGCCGCCACCGCCGCCACCGTCGCCGCTGCAGAGAAGCAGCGTGCGCAGGAGGCGGCGGGGCACTACGGGCTGTACGACGACACCCATCCTGACCTGTACGTTGACGCCAAGGCGCCGTTGCAGGGTGCAGCACGCCGGAAGCCGTCCCGACGGCCCGACGGCGTCGCCGCCGCTGCCGCTGCGGACCCCTTCCCACTGCAGCCTCAGCGGCAACTCCGACCGCCGGCAGCGGCGGCGGCGGCGCAGCGGCTGGCGGCGCGTGACTCCGCCGTCGCCGCAGCCTCCGCCGTCGGGCCGTCCATATCGCTACAGGAAGAGGCGGATCTACTGGACCAGCTGAGGGGAAGGCCAACAAGGAGGCTGCAGCTTGGCGGCGGCGCCGCTGGCGGCAGCGGCTCAGGAGCAGGGTACGTATGTATGTACAAGTGGGGTTGGCCGTAGCACGCAGGCACGAAGACGCAACCGCGCAGCACCACGAACGTTACGCATACGGCATGGCAGCTGCAGCCCTCGAACAAACGTCTCCCCCCCCACACACACACACCCTTTGTGACATGCCCATGCATGCAGGTACGACACCAGCACACAGTACGGCCTGATGACGGATTCATACCCGTCGTCGGCCCGCGGAAACGCGCTTAGCGGTGGTCCGCCTGGAGGCAGCGGTGCAGGCCGTAATCGCCGCGCCACTGGCGAGCCTCCCGCCGAGCTCGAGGATTCTCTGGCGATGACGGAGCCGCCGCCGCCACCGCCACTGCCCGCACTGCCTGTTGGCTTCACTCAGCGCCTACCCGACATGCCCTTCGTTGGACCGTCGCCACGGTTACCCGATGACTCACCGAGGCAGCCGACGCGACCCGTGGGTCCGCCGCGGAGGCTGACGGATACGGCCGCCGCCGGCGGTAGGAGCGTGTACGACTCGGAGGACCAAGCACTAGCCGAGCGTCCGTCGACGCTGCTCATGTCGCCCGCTGTCGGCGGCGGCAGGGCGGCGGAGGTTCTGAGCTTCCTTGATGGGGACAGCAGCGGCGGCGGAAGTGCCGGCAGTGTTGACGGCGGTGGCGGCGGTGGCGGCGGCGGTGGCGGTGGCGGCTTTAGCCGGCGCCGAGCTGCACATGTCGGCGATTCTCTGCGGGATGATGTCACCGCAGGCGCGTTTGACCCGTACGGCATGCCTGACGACGACCTGGTCAATGCCGGCTCAGTGCCGTCATCTCGTCCTATGACGGCGGCGACACTGGCGCGGAACAGCACCGCCGACGTGCCGCGCCTGGCGTCGCCGGCGCTGGAGTCTCTGTTGGGCCCTGCGCGATCCGGCGGAACCCATTTAGGCGCAGAGGCATCAGCAGGCGCCGCTGGCGACGACGATGATCCGTACGACACGTACGGCACGGGAGGCCTAGAGTCTCGCAAACTCGGCCGCCGGCCTAGCGCGCGGCTGAACCCCGTGCGACTGAGTGAGGCCACGGCCGTGTCCAGCGCTAGCGGCCCTGCCTTGTTCACGTCCTTCGGCGATGGCTTCCGTGACAGGTCCGACGGCGCGGCTGCGGCAACAGTAGCGGGGTCGGGCAGCGCTGGCCGTAACAGCAGCGGCAGCGGCGGCCACAGCGGCGGCAGTGGCGGCAGCGGCGGCAGCGGCGACGGTATGCCTCCTGCATCGCTGTTGCCACCGCCGTCGTTCCGAACAGGCGGCGTGAAGGGGACGCCGCCATCACGGAGTCGGCTGGCCAAGTCCAGCGGCCGGCCCTCCGCAGACGTGGCAGAAGAGGAATACGACGAGTATGACGGAGGGGATCTGTATGCGGAGGACGACAGCGCCGCCGGGGGTGAGATATCAGCCCTGGTGTCGTCGCCAAACGGCGGCGGCGGCGGCAACCCTGGCGACGGGGGCATCCTCGGCGGGGGCGGCAGTAGCATGTTTAACGCCAGCATCCGCTCCCAGACTGGAGCGTCGCCGCTAGGGACGAGCATCCGTTCCGTTGGCGGCGCGGCGGACCGGTACCACAGCACTGGACGCCGAACACTCACAGGGGGCGGCGGCATCCCTGCCGCCGCCGCCGCCACCGCCGCCGCCGACAGCGACAGCAGCAGCACCGGCTCTACATCCTCCGTGAGAGGCACTGCCGTCGGCGGCGGACCAGATTCGTACGGCTTGTATGCAGATGAAGGGGAAGATCAGGGCCGGCAGAGCCCCGACGGGGCGGGCGGCGGCAGGGAAGCAGCTCGCCGTGGCGGCGACAGTGATGACGACGAGTACGGCATTGGGGATGAGGACGGTGCGGCGGGGCAGATAGAATATGATGAAGCGGAGCTGGAGGCTGTCGACGGTGGCGAGGATGAATTTTGATGGCTCCTAATGCGATATTTCTATTTGTGCTCCATTTGGTGTTGTCATCATCGCCGTCTCTGATGCAGCAGGCACGCTTCGCAGCAATGGGCTGCTTGCCGCTGTTTCATGAACTTGTTTGTCTTGATCTCTTATCAACGTATGGCGACACATGTAGAGGTGTTGCGGCACGTGCTGGCATGTGGTGCGGACATGTGCGTTCACAACCTCATGTGCGACCCAGACCTGTCCCGCATAAAACAGAGATCTTGTTGACGGTCCATTGCAAACCACTCTTCTTTTTTCGTGAGCCAGTCCTTCATATCACGATGCGGGAGGCAGTTGACCAGGGGGGCCCCTGCAGGGGGGGATCGGGGGGGTGGGATCCCTGGCGGCCGTTGCGGCTTCTGTCGCTGCGACGACTTGCTAACGAGTCATGTGATTGTTGTTGCTTTACTTCAGAGGCGGTCACATCGCGCAGTGAAATGTAAATATTACCGTGCGACCCTTTTCCTTTCTTCCCCTCCGCCTCTTCTCCAGAAGGCACTGCATCCCGGGCCGCCCGCCCAACCACCCAGCACCTGTGCCAACCACCACTTACCAAATCACCCCAAATCGCAATCAAAGGCATCGCAGACATCATCATCATCATCAGCAGCAGCAGCAGCAGCAGCAGCAATGCCTCCCCCAGCTCCTCCCCCATTTGCCTACAGGACCCCCAGCCCCTTTCCAATCAGACTCTGTGGAGGTATCTTGAAATGTGTCGCCATAAAGTGGAGGTTGGTTAGGAGAGTGATGTCAAGAGCCCGTAGAATTAAGCGGTGGTGTAGTGGCGAAGGGCGGCTAGGTGGTGGTGGTCGGCTAGAACTGACTACAGACAACGAGGGCATTTAAAGTCCCTTCTAGATAGAACCTAAATATCATTTTTCAAGTCCTGGGCTAGCGGACACAGCAGGCGGTCATCATGCTACCGCTGCCTGTGCGATGCAACGACAAGCACAGGTGCCCCCGGCAGTGTGCTTTTAAAACAATGCTTTTAAAAACGTGCGTTAGGATGGAGCATCGCCGAAATATGTGTATGTGTGTGTCTCTTGCAGCGGTGTGCGTGTGTGAATGTGCATGATGTATTCGTTACATATCGATCCGGGCCTGACGCTGGCCAGGGGCACCTAACCGTACCCAAACGGGAACGACCGCTGAAGCACTCTCCTCCTCGTGGGGGAGGGAGGGGCGTGCGGGGCTCCTGCGCGACCGAGGGCATGCACCCCCGCGCGTTTCCCTATGCGTGCAGTGTGTACCTCCAACTGCGCACGCGAAGCAACAAGGCTATAGGCCCTAAGACAGCTTCCGAATTTAAACTCCAGAAAATTCTGAGCTCTCTCAGAGAGCTATCAGAGAGCTGGCAGGCTGCCACCCCTCCCTCCCCCACCACACACATGCACCATCTCCACTCCCACTCCCACCAACAACAACAACCCCCAATAACAGTTTGCTCAAGGAGCCGGTCCGTCATGTACAATAACTGATTGGCCAACTACCGGCACACACACACACACACCGCCATTAAAACCTGACGCCAAAAGGTGCCGTGTGTTAACAGGGCTGAGAACGTCCCACAGGACCTTTTCAGGACAAAGAGAGTGACCTCATGTATGCCCTGGGGTAACCACACATACGTACATGCATACATACATGCACAAAAGACAAGGATACTGATGTTGGTAATGCGTGAAGTGACGTTTGTTGTTTGTGATACAGTGTGACAGTGATTGACACACTCATGTGCACTCTTCCGCTTTATGCCTCACTCCCATTCCGGTCCCTTAATTTCCTTTCGTTCGTTCGTTTGTTCGTTCTCTGGAGGACCTCTTACCTGCTTCAAAGGCTTCGCCGGATATAACTGAAGGAGCCGCTGTAACAGCGTCCATGCCGGGTTCACATGATGGTGACACGACAACTGATTTACCTAGGGGTTGATGACGACTCGCACTGGGGGCTTCCCCTCGTCCCCTCTCTGCCCCGTCGGCCAGGAGACTCCAGGCCCTCCCCGAATGTGACACCCATTCGGCAGTGTGTCGAATAAAATGTAATGGGGTTTTGGTTTCCCTTTGTCTGTCTGTCTGTCTGTCCCGACACGGTGCGGCAAGGTGTGTCGCTTGGCCCCCCCGTTTCCAACATACATACATACATACATAGATACATACATACATAGATAAATACATACATACGCTGCGAGCCGACCAGGAATGGAGTTGGGCCGCTGTCGACCCGGCAGATTCCGTTGGATGCTGGTGGTGGGTGCGGAACCTGAGCGATCCACTGAGAAGTTGACTAGGGTGACTGGATGAGAGTGCCCCGAAATACCGGGGAAGGCAGGGTTTCGCAGGGTGGCTGCCACCGGTGAAGATATACCCCCCTGTTTCACACATACGCTGGCCTCCCATCTCTCTTCTCCCGCTGCGCTGGCAGCGGCTGCTGAGATGCCGAGATGGCTGCGGGGCTGGTCTCCTTGCCTAATGCTTCCGTGCGCGAACCCAAACACCATTCCTGACGGTGCTGCTGGTGGGTGTGCAAGATGGTGCCAACGTGTCCAACCCTGATGTAGATCGTGACAATGCTGTCACCCCGGAGGCGGCTGGATTCGCTGTGCATTGCAGCCGGCTCCGTAGCGGCTTTTGCCTTAAGAGTTAGAGGGATGGGCGGAAGCCGTTCACCGCAGAGACACCGTCCGTGAGCTTTGTTCGCCAATGCTACCTGCGAGGTCGGGAGATGGTGGTGGAGGTGGAGGAGATGGTGGTGGAGATGGTGGGTCGCTCAAACCGATCCGTGTGAAACGATCGCGCACATACCGATGCACACACGTGCACATACACAAAACACACACATACACGATAAGCGTTATGTCGCAGACGCTATCCTGCTTCCCCCCCTAGGGGGAGGGGAGCTAATACATACATCACATACAGCCACATACAGCCACATACAGCCACATACACATGTGCGAAGGGCAAGATGGATGGATGGGAAGGTGGGAATCCGTCGGCAAAGATGAGATATCCGATATCCGACAGCGGTTTCCCTACAGCTTGCCTGAACGGGGCGGGCCTGGGTGACGGGCTCCGGCCGCCGCCGCCGCCGCCGCCACGGACCGACACGGCAGCCATCGTACCGGACCGGCCACTGCCGCCACCGCCTCCGCCGCCGCCGCCAACCCAGGGCTCCACGGTGACCTGGAAGTCCGCCACCGTCGTCACGGGCCCCGCCGGTGCCGCCGCCGCCGCGGCAGCTGGCGCCGCCGACCGCACGGGGCCGTACACAACGGCGGTAGCTAATGCGCCGTACGGCAGCTGATGCTGTGCCTCCCGCGGTGGCGTTGCCCGCCGCGCTGACGGCGACCGCGGCGGCGGTGTCGGCGACGGTGACGGCCTCTGTGCGGCTGACCGGGGCGAGGGCTGTCTGTGCGGCGCGGCTGCGGCTGCCGGGCTGACTGCTGCCGCCTGCGAGTTAAGTCCGGTACGGGTGTTATGGAGGGCAGCGGACAGAGGGAGCTGTTCTGTCTGTAGGTCTGTCTTTCTGTCTGTATGGTAGCGATATGTAATGCTGTGTTTCAGTACGTACGCACCTGGGCGCTGTTCCCGGCATTTCCAAGCAGGATAAGACCACCATCCCCGGATTTTCCCCCCCACCAAAACACGCACACACATACATACATTCATACGTACATAATACATACATAATACATACATACACACACCTGCATGGCGTTAAGCTGACTCCTCACTCGCCGCTCCGAATCCAGCTGCTTGCCCAGAGACTGCACCTGACCCTGCTTTGTCGTGTTCAGGGGTGTATGTAGGGGTGTACGTGGGGGTGGGTATAGGGGTGTGCAGGTATATACCTATATATATGCATAAATATATATATGTGTAGGTGTATGTAAATATGTAGGTGCATGTAAATATGTAGGTGCATATGTATGGGGCCCATCGGCGCATTTAATGTACGTACATATGTATGTATATATGTGTGTGTGACCTAGGGGGGCAGGAGACCCTACCTGCAAGTTGCGAATCTGTGTGGTTCGTGCCCGGGCCTGGAGAGGGGCAAGGAGAGGGGAGGGAGAATGGGTTGGAGTGAAGCGAAGTGATGTGCTGCGTTAAGCTCGGCACACAAGGCCTCGCTTTAGTCGGTTCTATCTCCTTCCCGTCCTCGGCACAACTGCCCCGCCCTCCTCCCACCACATTTCCATTACTTGCAAGCTTGCAAGAGTCTTAACAAATTCTCCCTATGCCCTCATTTACCCGTCCGCCCCAGGGGCTCTGGTACGGGCAACAAGCCCCTCCTCCTCCTTCCCTACCTCCTTCCCCACCTCACTTCACACTACCCTATAATACTGCAGACATGCTATGCATACACATGCACTCGGCATTGTCACACAAGCACGCAAGCAGTGCGGGACGCAGACCAGCAGAGGTAACGGCGCAGGGAAGGCCCCATCCATTCCACCCATAAGGGGGAGGAAAGCCAATCTCCCTCAGGTCCCCACAGGACCTCAGAGAAGCTCAGATTAGATCAGCTCACCCCAGCTGCTGCTGATGCTGATGCTCCTCGAGGGCCGCTAGGCCCCTGTGCGGCCCGCAGATTGTCATTTTCCGCTACGAGCACCCGGACTTGCCGCTGGAGCTGGGAGATACGAGCTAACACAACTGCATCCGCACCGCCACCACCACCGCCGACATTTTCGCGAGTTCCTGCCCTGGCGCCGCCGCTACCACCAGCCCTGCCGCTAGCGCCGGCGGCGGCGGTGGCGGCGGCGGCGGGGGCCGCGGAGCGGCCCGCAGCTGGGGACGCTGACGCCGACGCCGACCTCTCGGCGCGGGGTATGGTGCGGGGCGTGAGGTTGGCAGTGGCGGGGTCTGCTGCCACTGCATGCTTGCGGGCGGACAAGGAGCCCCAGTGCTGATGCTGCTGTTGTTGCTGCTCCTGTTGGTGGTGTTGGTGGTGGTGTTGGTGGTTGTATTGCACGAAGGCCAGCTGACGGGCGTGTTCCTGCAGTGCGGCCTTCTCCCGCTGCAGCTCAGATATCTGGGTTAGCAGAGCCTGTGATGGTGGAAGAGGTCGAGGGGGGGTGTAGTGGTAGGAATTACAAGATGATGATGATGATGATGATGATGATGATGATGCAAAAGCGAAGGATCAACTTCCAACCAGGGGCGGAGGTGGGGGAAGAGGTGGGAGTGGGAGGAGTTTGGGGCCCTCGGGAAGGGGGTGAACGAGGGCAGGGGCTAACAAAGAGTGGGCAGAGAGAGAGAAAAAGTTCGAGGGTTCGAGATCCCGGGAGCCCCCCACACCATGCGCGTCCACCACCACGTGCGTTGTACCGAGATTCCTCAATCAAACCCCGACGGAACAACCAACCCCAACCACCACCACTACTACTACTGCCTGCCTCACCTCTATCAGCTGCTGCTGCTGCTCCATGTCCCGGGCGGTGCTGCTGCCGCCGCCGCCGCCGCCACCAAGGGGACTCCCTCCACCGCCACCGCCACCGCCGGCAGGTGCAGTTCCTAGGGGGGATTGTGCACTTCGGGGACTTAGTCGCGCAAGGTCCAGTTGCACCTGCATGGTGTGGGAGGGTAGGCGGTAGGGGGGGTAGATGGGGGTCAGACGCGTGGGAGCGGTAGGGGGTTATTGCACACTCTTGTCGCCGCTACCAGCAGCAGCACCTTGTCACAGTTACAATCTCAACTGCAGCTCTGTTGGGGCTGTTTCGGAGCGCCACGGGGGCCTCCGCCCTCCGCAAGCCGCGACAGACAGCCTCCAAACCGACACAATGGGGGCCATCCAGGAGCCCCCGCCTTCAGTGCCGCCACTCAGCCGCCAGTTCAGTTGGCTGGCAGGTTAGCAGCAGTAGCAGCACTACTAACAACAACAGCAGCAGCAGCAGTAGCAGCCAAAGTAGCAGGGCAACTAGGTGAAACCAAAGTATTTGAAGTCCACAAAAGTGCAGCAGGGGGTGCCGCGCGGATATGAGGGTGCGAGGGATGGGAGTTGCCAGCAGACACAGCCGTCGGACACCTTACTAACAACCCCATCTAACCGCCTCCAACCGAACCCAACCGCCTTGCCTGAAGCTCGTGCTTGTCCAGCGTCAACAAGTCGACCTGGAGGATTTCCAAGTGGGTTGGAGGGAAGGGGGCTGTGTGAGGGATGGAAACTGGAGGAGGGGAAGGGGGAAGGGAGGCGGGGTGAACCTGGTGCTTGCAAGGCGCAAATGCAAATCCATGGACGGTGCATTGCGTGCCGCCTCCATCTCAACAAGAACGGCTGAGCATATCTATATAGCCTCCTGGTAGTGCGCGAACCCAGTTCCCCATTGCTTGTTGAACTGGAGGATAGGACACGTAAGATAGATGTGCGTGAGACGGAGCAGGAGGCAAGGAGGGAAGTGCTGTAGCAGTTGGCATGGATGGGCTGCTGCTGGAGTTGCGGAGTGTGGCCCCGAAGCTGAACGGCGTTGATTTCATTATTGCTGATGGTTGTGGAGGGTGTGTGTTGACTAACAAAGTCTACGGAGTTTGTCTGATGATAGGTGCAAATTCTTACCTCTTCACCATCGTGTCTAACACCCTTTTAGCCCATTCTCTATTCTCTTTGTAAGGGGTGTTGTTGGGGGTTAATCTGTTGTATCGCTGACCGCGTTGTGCAGTAAGCACCGGTGGCCTGGTCAAATCTCCCTATAACCTCATTCAACATTTTATTTCACACACAATTGCACGCACGTGCCTTCTCTTGCAGCTGCGTGATCTTGCTCGCCAGCGCCGCCGCCTTGTCGTACGTGCTTTGCGAGTGCCGTACGGCAGCGCGCAGGTCGCGATTCTCCGCCTCCAGCTTTCCCAGGGCGACCTCCATGGCGGCCAATTTCTGACGGAGGCTATCGGCGCTGTCGGACACGACATCCTGTAAGTACGACGGTACGGCAACTCAGCATCATCAACTTATCCTTCAGTGGGTGATAATGATAGGAGCAAATGTCAGCGGGTTTATCAGCCTTTTCTTTCCCTCTTTTCTTCATCCTCATCTGTTCTGATGCCTTTTCCTGCCATTCCTGTTGTTCTTCCTAAAAATTTCTGCATTTTTTGCATTTTATTTTAAGGTACTTAAAAGTGATTTTCTGTCCCCTTGCTTTCTCCTCTCTGATGGGGAGAGGAGGTTCAACACGGCCGACACATCACGCGAGAGCGCAGAGTGAATTGCCGTACACTCCACGGCACCGGTAACGACCCGACTGCTGCCCCGCACCTTGACGCCCTGTGTTCGAGCCACTAGCTCGTCCATTTCGCTGTACACTGCCGTGAGCTGCCGTTCCAGCTGCAGGCACCTGGCCGCCAGGTACCCCTCCGGATCGCGGGGTGAATGAGGTGGTGACGGGGAGGTGCGGGATGGGGACCTGGTAATGGCGGATGGAGAGGTGACAGCGGCGGCAGCCGCAACGGCTGCTGCTCTGCATGCAGCGGCGGTGGTTGGCGACGGCGACCGTGCGGTGGTAGGAGCTGTAACAGCAGCAGCACTGTTGGCGGCTGCGGCGGCAGTGGCTCTCCGGCCGGAGGGGACAGTGGCAGTGGCCGTTGGCGACGGCGACCGCGCTCTGGCGGAAAGCGCTACAGCAGTGGTGGCGGCGGGGGTCCGTCTGGCGGCGGCGCCTGCGGTAGCTGGTGGTGACGGCGGCGACGGCGGCGACGGCGTCCTACCTTTCCCAGCAGCTGCGGCAGCCGCGGCGACGGCGGCGTAGCCTCTCCGAGCGGCAGCGGGAACGGGTGGTGGTGACGACGGAGGCGACGGCGTCCGACGGGGCCCCGTTACGGCTGCTGCGGGGGCCGATGGCGATTGCGATTGTGTTGAGTGCATTCTACGGGCCGCGGTGGGAGTCGCCGCCGCCGGCGCAGCAGGGACAGGACTCCGCCAAGTAGCGGTGGCTATCGGCGGCGATGGTGACCGTGGACGCGCAACAGCAGCAGCGGCGGCGGCGGCATTGTCGGCAACCTCTCGCGCGGCGACGATTGCGGCGGCGGCCTTCCGTGCGACGATGGCAACTGTTGCCGACGGCGACGGGCGTGTTCCGCGGGGGCTTCCCGCCGCCGCGACGACAGCAGCTGCGGCGTTGTCGGCGGCCTCTCGCTTGACGGCGGCAGCCGCGGCCGCCTTTCGCGCAGCGGCGGGGACTGCTGCCGACGGCGGCGATGACCGCGCGCTGCGGGGACTTGCCGCCCCCGCCGCTGCTGCGGCGGCGTCAGCGGCTGCACGTACGGCGGCGACAGAAGCGGACGGTAGCTCAGGCGACGGCAGGAAAGATGGACCCACATCAGAGCCCTGGAATGGCGCGCGTGTAGCTGTGGCGGTGCTGGTTGCGGCGCGAGAGGCTTTGCCGTCGGCAGAGGCGATGGCGGCGGCTCTGCTACGGAGCGACAGCTCCGAGGCGTCATCTGCTTCCTCCTCCTCCTCCTCCTCTTCCTCCTCGTCATCTCCCTCCCCTGGGCACAGACGCTTCTTAGAGACCGTGGATTCATCTCCAACAGCCTCCCAATCGTCATCCTCCTCATCCTCATCGTCTACTTCCTCATCGTCATCACCGCCGCCGTCACTGCTATTGTACGGATCCTCACCGCCACCACCACTGCCGCCGAGGCCGCTTGCGCTGCCGCCACCGCCGCGGCTGCCGCCGCCGCCGGACCGTTGGCGGCCTCCTCTGCTCGTCCCACCTCCGCGGCGACACTCCTCACGGAGGCCGCCGCCGCCGCCGCTGCCACTGCCGGCACGACCTTCCCGGCCTTTATCCTCGGCCTCCGCCGCACCGCGATGCCTCTCCCCCAAGCCCCGCGTGGATGAGCTCCAGCTGAGCTCACCTGACGTCATGCCGTACGGCTCTGGCTCCGGCGCCGCTGCTGGATGCGGTCCTCCTGTGGCGTTGTCGGCCCGCTCCCACAAGCCTAAGGTCGCAAAGCCCAACCCTTGCTGCTGCTGCGGCGGCGGCGGTTCCGGCGCCGCCGCCGGCGTGGCTGCAGCTGCCATCTCGCCAGCACTCGCGAGAGGCGTCGGCGACGCCCCGAAACCGCCGACATTGTGGCTGTGGTGGTAGTGATGCTGCAGGAGCTCCACTGACGGCTGTCGTTGATGCTGCTTGTGATCCACCGGCGGCGGCGGCGGCAGCGGCTGATGGGTAGCGGCGGGGGATAGATCAAGGCGCCTGCAGGCCGCCAGCGCTGGCTGCCCCGCCGCCGGCTTGGCGCTGCCGCCGGCGGTTGTGCCACCAGCGGGGTGGGCCACTTCGGTGGCGGCCTCCGAATGGCTCAACAGAAAAATGACTTGGGACTGCAGGCTGTGGCCACATCCACCATCCAATTTATCGCCGTGGGAATTCACATCGCCGGCGCCGGCATCGGCATTGTCGTGGTGCAGTTCTGAGGGGATCGACGGGAGCCAGTGATGCTGGGGGGGCGGCGACGCTGCGCGCTGCGTGTACGACAGCAATGGCGGCGGCGGCGACGTTGGCTTACGATGGCTATGATCATTGTGGTGATTGAAGCCATCACCGCCGCTGCCAGCATGACTCTTTGAAGGTATGCCCAAGACACTCGGCAAGGCTGGCTGGGCGGCGGCACCCAAATTAGCTTCCGCCTCCGTCGCCCCGCACTGCTCCTGCCGTACGTTTGGCCCATCATGCCACGTCTTGGTGGCCATGGTGGCGGCTGAAGGCGGCGGAGGAGTGACGTACGGCGACCTGGAGTGGACCGACGGCGAGGATGTATCCTGAAGCGCTTCACGTGCTGGCGGCGACTCCCACCTTAGGTGCCGCCCCGGTTGCTGCTGTTCATCCTGCTGCTGTTGCAGCTGCTGCCGCTGCGGCGATAACGAGGGCGAACCTGCGCGCGTTGCGGCGATGACGGCATTGCCCGCCCGCCGCTTTCGTGACGGCGGCGAGGGACCGCCGCGGCGCTGCAACCTGTCCGGTGTAGACCCGGGCCTAGGGCGGAGCCGGCTTCCGCTGTCGCCGTACCGGGACGTCGTCGCAGTAGCTTCCGCCGGCGTCGACGACGCCGTCGACCCGCCGTTCAGCTCGGGGCTGGCGGCACGGATCTGCTGAGCCAAGGACCGAGACCGCGCGGCGACGGCTGCGCGGAGCTCCTTCACAGCACCTGTTAACGCCGCGTACTCACGTGATGAGCTCATCGCCGCCGTCGCCGCCGCTACCGCCGCAGGAGACCGTTGTACAGCCATCACGCCCTGGCTAGGGTCCCGCTGCGCTGGCGAGTAGTTGTGTGTGGGCGCCGCTGCCGCCGCCGCGTGCCGCGGCGGCGGTGACCCAGCGGGGGACCAAGCTCGTTGCTGCTTAGTAGCTGTGGCAGCGGGATGGCTACTTTGTGCAGGGCTGCAATGCGCTACCGACCCTGCCTCCGCCGGCTGCGGCGGCGAAGTGAAAGTGACACTTCTAGTTGCGGCCTTCCGTATCCCGGAGGAAGGAGAATGGCCTTGCCGAGGTTCAGCAGCTGTAGCTTTAGCAGGCGTGGCGACGTCGCTGCAAGGTGCAGCGGAACTCCGGCCCGCAGTGGCGGCGGTGGCGGCGGCAAACATCCTCCGCGTCCGGCCGTCGGCCATGATAGGTGACGCAGATCGTGCTCGCGTGCTGCCGCCGTCACGGTGGCTTTGGCCTTTCCGAACCGCCGGCGGTGGCGACGGTGCCGACCGCAGCCTCGTGCTGCCAGCACCACCGCTTCTCGTCATGTCGTATACATCCGCCACCGCCGTTGACGCCGAGCACTGGTGCCGCCCCGAATGCGGGGGCTCCGGCCCCGCTGTGGCGGCAGTAGCAGCACCGGCGGCTGGCCTAGGCGACCTAGGGCTGCTCGTCGACGGAATCAGCAGCAGGCCCAGCCTTGGTGAAGACCCGTGGGTCGGCGACCTCGACGGCGACCTGAACCGATTTCCAGAGCCCCCGCCAGAACCACCGTCGCCTTCGCCAATATCCGCCGCCGCCTGCTGCTGACCGTATGCTGTTGGATCGGCTAGTTCATCTTGGCCTCCGAATGCCAGCGTTGAGCGTCGCCAAAGGGCAGCTGCTTGTACCGTCAGCGACTGCAAATGATCCGGGACCGGTCCAAGCGGCCTGGCACCAGCGGCGGCACTGCCCGTGCACGCAAGCCCGGCGAACTGGAGCAAACTCACAGGCGCCTGGGGGGGCGACCTTGGGCTCTTGCCGCCCAGGGAGCGAGGCGAAATAGCCAGACTGCCGCTGCCTGCCGCCAACTCGCCGTCGCCGCCGCCGCCGTCGCGTAGAAAACTCATGCGCACGCTCGCGCCCGATACCGCCGCAGCGGCGCCAGCGGAACGAGGTGAGACGACAACACGGTCCGGCGGCGGCGGGGACCCGGAGCCGGACCTGCCGGCGGCACTGCCGATGGCCATCGGTATCAACCGCCGCTGGCGGCGGTCCGGTGCGTCGCTCCCTCCCGCCGCCGGCGACTGCGGCCGGGCGCTCCGTGCCGACGCCAGGGTCGATGTAGGCGAGCGAGGTGATCCCCTCGACCTCGCAGACCGAGCTGAGCCCATGTTCGGACGGGCCCCGCCGCTCCTGGGCGACGCCGACGCCGACGCCGGCCCAGCCGCCATCTCCGGTGATGCATGTACGGAAGAGGACCTGCGCCGCAGACGCGGGCTTGCGCTGGTGCTGCCGCTGCGAAGTCGTCGAGCTGGTGGGCTGGCGGCTGCTGTGGCGGCCCCGTAGCTGCGCGGCGAGTACCCGGTATGTTCCATGCCCAGATAGTCATGGAGCCGTCCCGCAGCGTCTGTGGCGAAAGTCGCACCGTCCGCCCAGCCGGCAGTCCGGGCATATGGAGGCGGGTGAGGGCATTGTTGGAGGACGGGAGGCGGGTGGCGCGGGTCGGGCTCGTGCATGTATGGGTGGTGCGTTTGCATCTGTGCGCATCTTCTTTCGGAGCCGCATAAAGTGCGGCTATAAAGTGCGGCTATAAAGTGCGGCTATAAAGTGCGGCTATAAAGTGCGGCTATAAAGTGCTTCACACAACGTGCAAGTGCTAAGAGTCGTTCAGTTTTATCACCCCCACACGTGGGTGGCCGAAATCCTTTCCGAAACCGCCGAAAAAACAAGCGCCGCGGGGCCAAATCTGCACGCGCGCACGTACGTACCTAAGCCTCTCACACCGCGAGTCCGTGCCGCGTCCCTCCACGCCTCCTCCTCCTGCATCTCCACCTCCTGCGCACATACATACATACATACATATACACACACCAGGTACCGCACATTGTCGCACACAGACAGACAGACATATTCATATACTTACACGTCATTACTTGCCCCAGGTCAAATTGGTGCGAGGTCATGCCACGTCATGTCTAGAGTACGTGAACGGAATGAATGAAGGTAACTAGGGGCCACAGCCGCGTTCTTTACTTATGCTCGTGGGGCCCCAGCCAGGTGCTGCCAGAGCGCCTCCATCACCACCACGACAAGGGAAACATGCAAACCCTAAGTCACACAAAACGAAGAACTGAACCTTGTGGTGTGGTGTGGTGGTGAATGAGGCGCTCTGGAAGGAGCAGGGGAGCCGAATGGGAGAGCGGGGGAGAGGGAAAGCGGCTGTGGAGCCGCCTCTTTAACCTCGACTTCCGATACGGGTTTTACGCTGCTGCCACCATCCCCATGAATGCCTGATTGCCTCGTCTTTCAGCAGAGCGCTGGTGGCTGCGAGAAGCCCTTTTCAGGCGGTCGGTGTCTTGGTCGTGCTTCCAGGTCCTTGTTTTATTCCCAGATGTTGTGTCAGCTTTCCTATATCCGGAGTCTTGGTGTGTGCCTGGCTAGTACTCCTTGGGGGATGGGGGTTGCCCCCAGCAGGAGCGGCGACGAAGGCGGGCGCCATGTGGGTTTCATTATCCCCGTTGAAGGTGGGGAGGCCATGGCGGGGGGTTCGCGGTGACTGGTAGTAGCAATTGGTGATTGCAGTGGTGGTGGCAATTCTGGTGCAGTGAAACCGCCTTTTTGTTCATACACACGGCTCGAATCGAGCTCCGCAATGTCCTAAAGAAAAAAGCCGGCCCTCCTCCAATGCCGCGGCCGCGGCGCCGCTGCAGCTGCCGTCGTTGCCGCTATAGCTGCAGCTGCCGCCGGCGCCGCCGGGGGAGAGAAACAGGGGCGATACACGGCGGACACTTACAAGCTGACTGCTTCCCCTCTCAGCTGCGTGCCGTGTCATCGGTTGCCGTACCGTCTGACTTCAAAACAGCCGGACCATTTCTCACTCGCCGCTCTGCCAGAAGCAGGTCGGTTAGCTCGAAAGAAATGTGGGCGGTTTGTGGTAACATCTGAATATCGCCCTTCCCTTCCTCCCCTATGTGGGCGGTTGCCTGCCGCAAGACAATATAAATAGCAGGGAGGCGAGACCCCACCTGTGGATGGAAAAGGCTGAGATGAAAAAGATACAGATATAGGCTTCCTGATGAGGACACACATGGTGGCCATATCATGGTGGGTGTGGGGTGGTGTGCAGGGTTTGCACAGCCGCACCCAACACCGCCGCAGCACCCCCGCTTTGTCGACATTCGACGTCAAGAAGCCTATACGGAGGTTACAGTCTATACACGAAGTCTATATGAAGGTACATACACATCGCGTCCTTCGTCAGTCCGGCGGAAGAGGCATCACTTCCCCACCCTGATTCCAGGATTCCCCCTAACCTGACGAATCCCCCCAAGGCTTTCCCGCGTGACCGACCTAAGCCAAGTCGCAATCCCAGAACCTGGAGCGATACTTCCAACCCCCAACGAGCATGTTGGCTCCGTAGGCTCCCCCCCCCCCCAATCTGTCAGCAATGCCCTCATGCACGTTCCCCACGGCCACTTTCGACGGCTTACACAGGCAAATGCCTCTTTCCCTGCATGGTGTAATCTGACGCCCGGCCTGTGTGGTATTCGTGGAGGTCAAACCGGTACCCCGCGGGCCCCAACCCCCCGTGTCCACTACCGGCGCCCAGCCCAGACCTGAGCAAGCAAGGAAGCCTCCTGCCGCCGCGCCGCGAGGGTACGCGCCGCAGACGGCTCCACCGCATCCTTGGTGGCGTCCGTACGCGGCGGCCGAGGACCCGCGGCTGCCGCGGCGGCGGCGCGGCCCCTCCCGCCGCTGCTGCCGTCCCGGAGTGTCTGACCGCCGCCGTCGGCACCGAACATGGCGGCAGCCAATGCCGCCACGGCACCTCCGCCGCCTCCGCCGCTGGTACCGCTTTCTTGGAGGCTTGTCCGGCGTGCTTTACCAACGGCGGCCCCGGCGGCGCCGCGACGGCCCGTGACGGCGTCCAGCAACATCTCCACCTCCCCGTCGCTCGTCGCCACGCCGCGCAGCAGCCGCAACAGGCGGCTGCCGTACTGTCGGGACTGCAACAGCTGTGGATGTCGTGTGTGCAGTTGCTGCAGAGCGCGGAGCAGCCGCACGAGCTTACCGGGTGCCAGCGGCCTTGCGGCGATGCGCCAGGGCTCGTCGTCACCGTCATCATCATCAACATCACCGTCATCACCGCCAACACACGGCCCACCGGAGATGAACAGAGGACTGACTGGAAAGCGGTCTAAGTGTCGTTCGCAGGAAAGCCTGCGGCCGCTGCCCCCGGCGGCGGCCGTAGCGGCGGCGAAAGCCGTAGAATCTTGTTCCTGTGCCGACGACAGCTGTCCCTTCAGCAGTGCGGAAAGCAGCAGCGCAATATCATCATCCTGGAGCCCGCGGCCGACGTCGATTCCGCCATTATTGTCGTCGTGGTCGTCGTCGCCGCCGCCACTGCGCCATTGCCCGCCAACTTCGTTCCTTCCCATGCCGCCCTGGCTTGTGCTGGCATGCCAACCGGCACCGCTGCGCCGCCCCGCCACCGCCTCTCGTGGCGGCGGCGGCCCCCCACCGCCGCTGGACAATTGCAGACGCAGCAGCGACTGCCTAGCACGCTCCAGCTGATCGCGTAGCTTGCGCATGCCAGAGGACTCCTGGGACGAGAGAGCAATTGAGGAGTTGGCGAAGCCGGCGGCGGCGGCGGCAGCGCCGCCGCCTCCGCTAGAGCGTACACCGCGCGCGCTTGAGGCGCTGGTGCGCCGTCGGCCCCCAGCGGTGACGGCTTCCGTCCGCCGCGCCGCGGCATCTTCGGCCTCACTGCCATGCCGAGAGGAAGCAGAGGAGGAGGAAGAGGAGGAGCTGACGTAGGGATTGCCGTACGAGACCCTCCGGCGGCTACCGCCAGCACAACTGCCGCCGCCTGCGCTACGTCCGCGGTCCCTACCGCCTTCAGTGCTGCGGCCAATGCCACCGCCGCTGGCGTCAAGGCTCGCTTTGGCTAACGCGTACCAGCCCCCGGCGAAGAGACCGCCGCCGCCGCCTCCACTGCCGTTGAGTGCCGCGGCCGTGCCGCCTCCGCCGCCACCGCTGCTGCGGATAAACCTGCGCGGTCCACCCCCTCCAATGCCACGGTCGCGCGGCAATTGGCCGTCGTCACTACTAGAGCTGGAGGTAGGGCTGGCGTCGCGACCACCGTGCCACGCTCGTAGGCTCGCACCTGCCGTCGCGCTGCCGTACATCGTTGAGTCGGCGCCGCCGCGCAGCGAGGACGCGGTCCGACCCATGGCCCCGTAATCCCGTGTGGGTCGCCGCAGGGCACCGCTCTCGCTGGTGTCACGGATACGACGGTTACAGCCGCCGCCGCTGTTGCCGCCGGCTGCGGTCTCCCGCTCCTCTCCCCGATCCGGTCCAGCCAAGCTGCGTCGCGGACTCCGCTGGCGCTGCTGCCGCTTGTGCGCTGGGCCGTCGTTTGCGCCGCCGCCGCCGCCGCCGCCACTGGACGGCGTTGCGGCGGTAGCAGGTGAGGCTGCAGCCGGAGGTCCCGCAGTCACTGCCGCAGCCGCGACACGCTGGCGGACGCCTAGCACCGTGCTGGCGGGCCGCTTGGCCACCTTTCGCCGTCCATCCTGCCGTTTCATGCCTCCTCCCCCGCCGTCCCTCCCTGGTTGGTATTGGTACTCATCTGCAGAGCCCTCCTCCGGGCCGCTATCCGAACCGTCGGGATCCGTCGTCATCCTCCGGTTCGCCCGAAGCACCTGTGATGCGCGCGTCAGTGCAACGGCGGTGTCGGCGGCAGCTGGGTCAACTGCCGCCGCCGTACCGAGGCCGCCGCTACCGCTTGCCCCTCCAGCGTCTTTGTGGTTGGCGCCGCCAGCGGTGGAGGAGGCGCTCCGTGCACGGCGCAGGCCGCTGAGCGCCTGCACCGCCGGCGACGAGACACCAGCCTGGCTGGTGCGCGAGGGCAACAAGCCTCCGCCTCCGCCGCTGTTGTTGCCTGCGGAGGCGGTGCTGGCGCGCCTGTTGATTGGCGTTGTGGCTGCTGTAGAGTGCTTTATGTAGTGAACAGCGGTGGCGCCGCCGTCAGCTTTAGCGACTGTGTCTAGGTAGCGCTGAGGCTGCTGGGCGGCTGGGGAGGGTTTGAGGCCCGAAACGTCTCCGGTTGGGTTGTTGCTAAGGTTGCGGCCATTGCCGAACCTAGCGGGAGTTGAGCTAGCGCTGCGGGTAGAAGAGATATCATGCAGGGACGTTGCTAAGTGTAAGAGGGTTAGGGTAGCGGTTTACGTTTGTGGGATACCGAGATGAGATGAGTTCCAAGGGCAGGAAAGGGCAAGCGTAAAGAGGAAGAAGAGAAGACAAGAGAAGAGGCGATGAAGGATTTAGAACGTTCCAAATGCATCGACAGACGGCTATAGGCGCACCTCTTTGGAATTAGCCGTGGCTTGGCTCTAACGTCGGTAATGTCGTCGCTGCTTAAGCTTGGAATTTTGAGCAACCCAGCGGAGATCTCACTAATGTCCGCAAGCTGGAGCGCGTTCGCTGCCTGCCGTGAGCGATGTGAGGCCTCCATATCCGTCCCGCGTGAATTGCGGACAGTACGTTCCGTCTCACGTCGCATGTCCACTTCCTTGCGCTGAACATGTGCGAGGAGCGCCCCTGATGCAATCTCATACTTGCTCGGTGTGACCATGAGAGAGCACAGCGTTCTCCAGCCTTATCGGCAACAGGTCAACAAAATATGCCCGAAATTGAATGAGATACTGAACAAGGCAGGAAAGTCATTTATGCGCTTCCATTATCAGGAAGCCCAGCATCGTCTGTCGCTTTGACGCGGTCAAAGGTGTCGAAGTCATACATGTAAACATGCAGATCCATTACAAATAGAGGCCTGACATAAATTTCTCTAGACTAGGATACATATGTTTATTTCAGTAGAAGTTTGGCGTGGACCGAAATCATAGCCAGGCACCAACTCCATCAAAACCAGGAACCGATGACTAAAATAATGCAACATGCATAAGAAGTTCAGCATGGGACTATAATTTCAGCATATTTACTGATTAGGGAGGCAAAGCAGGAGAAGATGTTGCGCCGTACATGGTGCTTTCGAACGACATTCTCACACATTTTGCAGAAACGCATACTGTAAGTGACGCAGTTCATCATGTGATTGAGAACTGCCGCTTTGGCATACTTCAGTAAGATAGCAGTCACAAAATTCATTGTAACTGTCTGGACGTGCTTCATCATAAGACGGGTCGAATTTTCCCTCTTGCCTACACATAATTTTGTTAGAATTCATGCTAGATGGCACACGTGGGTAAACCCGCTTTTGGTTCGTCTACTAGGAAAACTTTTGGCTCTCCCTTTTCGGGCTACCGCGGTGATTATACCGTCTACCCAGACGAGCCATGGAAGCACTCGTTGCGCAAATATCCTTATCCAACTGCATCAACCTCCCCTGTGCGCCATTCGCGGAGCATCTCCCCACGCCGGAAGGTCGCTAACGTATCTGCTGCGGCCACAGCAAAGCGGCAAATATTAGAGGAGATTATGGCAAAGGTAATTATCAAATGATGCTTAGGCTTCATGTCCTTTCCATGTAGGCGTCATGGCATGCACCCGCAAGCACACCACAATAATGTTGGTGGCGTAGCTTCTTTGTTTTAATGATGTAAGGCAACCCATGTGCCAATCCGCGATGCAGATTGACACTACGCAAGAAGACTTGCATGCACTCGCGCAAAGAGTGGCTGCCTGGTCGCGGGAGGCGGCCGAACTATCGGAGGGATTGAAAGAGGAATCATTGCTGTTGGACCTTAGCCGCCAAGCTGACCGACTCGCAGCCAGTGAGGCGCAGCACCGTGAACTGCAAAAACAGGAACGAGTAAACAGGTGCGAAAAAGCAAACATGCAACCTTCATTTAGACACCTCGCTTAGCACTCCAAGTTTCCGGGCATCGTTGCACCTCAATACCTGTGCCATCGCACTCCTCGGGGTCAGGAATAGAGTGCTGTCGTGCTCTCTGTTTGCTGCACCGTATTGGCACCCGTGTTCTGCGCTCCATGCGAGCTCCATCAGAGCACCAAAACTTTTTTTCGAAAAGCGCCGTAATGGCACCTGCACGTTTGGCCAAATGTGCCGCTAGGGCCGCTAGCCATAGGAGCCGCAAACGGGACACAGCCTCCACGGGCGACGCTCCTTCACCTCTCCCTCCCACCCGGCGAAATGAAGCTGCTCAATCTCAACAAACCCTTTTTGCCGTCAGTCCATGTGTGTCATTTCCTCCCTGTAATTCCACGGCCTGGCGCCCTGCCCAATCCCCAATGCCTCGCTCATTCTTTACATTATTTCGTCTGCTTCACATGTGTTGTCTTTTTGCGCAGCTCGCCTGCCTTAGATTGCAGTTTCCCTCATCTTCCGGAAGATGGCCTCACCCCACCTTGGCACTTCGCACTTCAGGCTGAGTTTGGAGAACGGCGAACTGCGCCGAGAGCTGCGACAGCTAGTCCACATCTGCAAGATGCTGCTGGACCAACGGACCCTGAGCGACCCATGGGTCGGGGACGCGCGGGCCGCCGCTGCCAGACCCGTAACGGAGCGACACTCAAACCAAACGCCGCCGCCGCCGCCTCGGCGGGCATGGCAGGAGCGAGAAGTCGAAGAAGGAGGAGGGGGAGACGGAGAAGCCTTAGGAGAATCGCTTCGGACAGACCGGCGGCGAAGCAGCCGCCGCCGCCTCTACGTCAATGGCGTGGAGCCGCCACACTCGCCCACGGCAGCGGCGGCACCGCCGCTGCCTGCCTCCGTATATCGCGCCGGCGCCGCCACTGCCGCTGACTTGCCGTACAATGCAGCAAAGGGCCCCGGGGTGTCGGCGCCGCGGACGCCGGCTGGCGGCGGCCGGCGACGGCAGTCGTACAGCGGAGGCGACGCGAACGACGCTGATGCGGCGAGAATCGCCTTGGGATTGGCGGGTCTTACGGACAAGAATGCGGCGTACTTTGTGGCGGCGGAGAGGTCCCAGGCCGACGCTGATGCAGACGCCGATCTGCGCAGGGCCCACCGTCGTGACGCTGCTACAGCTGCTGCAGCTAGGCCATCTGCACATCATCATCATCATCATCATCAGGACCCTGAGCAGCGACGGGAGCATCAACATCGGGCGGTGGCGCCAGTTCAGCAGCAAGGGGAGGTGGACCTGGAGCGCGGTCAAGTGAGTAGATAAATTGGATATCGAGCCACTAGTCGCTGGGGTCGCTGTCTGGTCGGGTTCAGAGGAGGAAAAAACAGGCAAGCGCAAGGGCAAGCGTAACAGCTATTGCCCCGCTACCCGTCCCAAGATCTAATACTGTAACTTCCTTATCGGCCAAGTTTTTTGTTTGAGACTCTAAAACCGCTCTAGTGGGAGAGTAATAAATTTATTCTGTTCAATTTTTTACGAAAAACAAAAATCGACTATTATTGTGTAAATGTTTGAGGAACTTACAAAATTATTTAGAAAAGAATCCTTAGGTGCTTCACATCCTGTGTCGTGTACACGCGCACAATTCCCCCATGTCAAGCAGGTGGGCTCCGCAGCACTGGCAGCGGCAGATAACGCCCTGGGGGGGGGGGAGCTGACGCTGAAGCTAAAGCGCCGTAGCGGCGGCGACGGCGGCATAACGATCGCTGCTGCGGCCGCCGTTTCAAACCCCAGCGCGGACTCCGTGGTATCCGTACCTAGCTTCGGCGGCTTCTTACCGCTGCAGTACCAGCACCAGCAGCGGGTGGCGGAGGCGACTGCCGCCATACCGGAGGCGTGGCGACGGCAGCAGCAGCAGCAGCGGCAGCAGCAGGAAGCGGAGGAACTAGAGTTGCAGCGGCAGGCGGAGATGGAGCGCGTCGAGAGGGAGTTGGCGGCTGTAGAAAGGGAGTTGGCGGTCGCGGAGGTGGAGGAGTCGGCGGCAGCGGCGGCGGAAGCAGCGCACGCTGCTGCCAAGGCGACTGCGGCGCATGCAGTGGCGCAGGTTGCGGCAGCGCAAGCAGAGGCCGCGGCGGCGGCGGCGGTGGAAGCGGCATTTAGGCGAGACGGGGAGAAAAACTCGGCGGTGACGGGGACACCGGCGTTAGGCACACCGCTCAAGCTTGCGGAGGGCGTGCCGCTGCCGGCACCGCCAACTCCAATCTACCAAGCTGTGCCGTACAGCTCCAACATCGCCGCCGCCACCGCCGCTGCAGCAGCAGCTGCCGTCAGAGCTATGCCGTCGACAGTCAGCAGCGACACGGTACCCATGGCGCACACCGGTGTGACCGACGGGAAGGCATCGTCGTACGCTCGTACGGCAGTCGTTTTAAGTGGCAGCGCCGGCGCAGCGGGACCGCCTTTGAATACGTTGCTTCTGTCCGAGGTTGAGCGGCTGAAGGCAATTAATAGGGCCCTCGCCAGCAGCTTGCATACTTACAGCCGTGTCGCCGACCGCTTGGACGGCGCGGCGGGGGCGGCGGGGGCGGCGGCGCCAGCCCCGACGGGAGCGGTACGGACGCTGTTTAAGCCACCCTTCCCAACTGATGCCGCACCCAGTGCTAATGCCGCAATCGATCTGGCGGCCCTGGCAACGGGGGTGAATCCTCAGCGCACTTCTTCCGTGGCGGCGACGTACGGCAAGTCGTCGGCTTCGGCATCATCCGTACCTTCGGCGGCCACGACCTACACAGCCTCGTACCCTTTGGGGGTTTCGGTGCGCGCCATGGCGGCGCCGTCAACGCCGGCGCCGGCCGTACGGCATGTTCGGCTGGAGGAGCCTCGTGCGTCGTGGGCGCCGTCGACAGCTCTTCGCGAGCGCTTGCACGGCGGCGGGGACGGTGGGAGGGACCCCTTGGGCTTGCCGGGGGACAAGGCCCGCCAGAATGACTCTGTGCTTGACGATCAGTTGTACGGCATACGTCAGCAGCTACAGGCGTTACGGGACGAGATGGTTGTTGACAGGTTGGCGGCGCTGGCAGCATCAGCCCCACGTGGCGGCGCCACCACGGCGGCAGCGCCGCCGCTGCGGCCGCTGCCAGCCCAGGTCAGCGGCGTCGTAACGTCGCAAGGCGCGGCGGCAACGCCGCTGTACCGTGACGCCGCCGGGCTGACGCGTCTTAAAGAGGAGATCTCAGAACTTCAAGGCCGTGTGCGCGACGACCGGCGATGGCACCACCATCACAGCCTCGAATCTGTGGTCTCGGAGCGATCGGCGCTGTTCCGGGAGCTGCAACGCAGGGTTGAACGGCTCATGTCGTCGCCGGTGATCTGAGGACCGGCAGGAGGCCGCGCCGCCTCGCGTCTGCTAGCTCCGCCGCTCTCTTACCCGCTCCACCTAACCAAATTCAATTATTCATCTCTTGAATTTTCAAGCATATAATAGAATAGAATATATATGCTGGTCATTTTATTAATACTCATAAATTGCGCCCTTAGACCTAATTTTGGGTTACAAGCCAACTGAAGGCTTCTGTACGAACGTGTCGTACATATTGACGGCGTTGCCGCTGGGCCCACCTTTTGCATCTTGCTGTGCACTGAAGCCGCGGCGGCGCCTTTTGCCCTCTCGAAGCCGCGCCAGCGACATCCACAGCGACCCACCCCCGTAGTACCCACCCCCGCACCCCTCCCCCGCGGAACTGCCCCAAAATGTTAGTATCGAAGTGACAGCCTCCAAAATCCGGGACTAATGGG